ATATACATATACATATACATATACATATATATGTCTAATATGCAAAGTGTCCCCAGGGGAGTTCGACTGGGAGTTCTATCACTCACTATGATGTGCGCTGACCACCAGGGGGTGGCGCAGAACGACGAAAGGCCCCGGCTGGCAGCTGGTAGCTGGGGAAGGGAGGCCCCGATTGGCCCTGATTGCCGGCCAGGCCCAGGGACCCTACCCATGCACGAATTTCGTGCCCCGGGCCTCTAGTAGTCAATAATATTGTATAGGCTTATTGGGGTGATCAATCTGTAAGCTAAATGAATGTCATGCACCGGAAACTAATATTGTATATTAATTGTAATTGAAAAATAGTTTAATAGAAAAAAGTTCAGAAGACTTTGCAAGGGAAATAGAGTTGTTCAAGGAAATTGCATTTAGGACATGGGGTCTAAAGGAACCTGTTAACACTGTTCCCATGGCTGTGAGGCCCTGCTCCCAGACCCTCACCTCTCTGACCCCATGACCACTAGAAAAACATCATCAATAGAGACTAACTGAATTCAAATTACTAAAACACATGGACAGTAAAATTTATAAGGCAAAGAAAATACAGCCCTGGCCAGTGTGGCTCGGTTGAGTGTTGTCCCATGTACCAAAAGGTTGCCAGTTCCATTCCCAGTGAGGGCACATGCCCAGGTTGTGGGTTTGACCTTGGTCAGGGTGCGTACAGGAGAAAGCTGATTGATGTTTCTCTCTCACATCAATGTTTCTCTTTTTCTCTCTCCCTCTTCCTTCCTCTCTCTCTCTCTCTCTCTCTCTCTCTCTCAAATCCATAAAAACATATTTTAAAAAATACATACAATAGTGGGTATAATACACATAACAAAGGTGGACCCCATGCCAATGACATGTGAACAGGCCTCCTGATGTGTTCTTGTATCCTGGACTCGGCCCTTTTCCAAACACCACGACCCCCAGGCTGACTGGGCTATCCCTCTTCAGGGCTGTGCCTGGAAGTGGAGGCCCACTTTCCTGTCGCTTTGCATGAAAGCTGGCAACGATCCTTTTCTGCAACTTCCTGAGAACCCCACCACGACTTCTGGCCAGGAAAGCAGCCCAGAGAGCCAGTGGAGCTGTCAGGCAAGGAGGGAAGGAGGGTGGAGGAGAGGCCTGGGCGGAGCGACAAGGACAGGAGAAGGTGACAGGAGGTTCACAGCTAAACAAGACTCCAGGACAAACTGTAAAGATTATACTAGTACTTATCGTTTGTACACATACAGGTGCTCTAAACAGATGTAAGTCTGAATGCAATCCACTTCAGTCAAACACACATTTAAAGATAAAAAATTACATGTTACATTAACAATTCATTGGAGAAAAAATTAAAATAAAACTTTCAGTGAGGTTTCAGACTCAATTTCCATAATTTCTAACTAGTGAAGATGATAGTCACATGAACTTTGGGATGTTCTAAATCAGATTTTCTAAAAGTGTTTAAAGCTTTCCTTGTCTTGACTGGTTAGTAAGTATGATCCAGCGATTTTCAATTGGTGAGCCGCAAGAATTTTGAAAACATGCAACACCTATTTTATTTAGTCAGGGGCACTGACCTCTCTTCCCTTAGGTTGTCAAATAAAAAATGACAACAGCCAACACAACAATAGCCACCTGGTGAGAATGAATCAAAATTATACCTACATTTTTTTGTCAAATCAGCAAAAAACATATTTTTGGTGTGCCACAGAATTTTAGTAATTGCAAAAGGTTGAAAATCACTGTTATCTATAATAATAAAAGGGTAATATGCTAATTAGACTGGATGTCTTCCAGACGTCATTCCGAATGTCCTTCCTGACGAAGCTGGGGCCAAAGGGAAGACAGCCTGGGTCCTGGGTGCCTGCCGGTAGCTGGAGGAGGGAAGCCGGTGCCAGCAGCCGGGGGAAGGAAGGCCTACTCTTGCACGAATTTTTGTGCATCGGGCCTCTAGTAATCTCATAAACTTCAAGTAACCCTGTTGGGGCTACTGACAGTGGGAGAGGCTGTTAGGGGTTGAGGATGGAGGACAAGGTGTATATTGGAAATTTCTGTACCTTCTGTTCAATTTTGCTGTGAACCTAGTGAAGTTCATGTTAATAAGAATTTGCCTTGTTCTAAAACAGGTTTTCTAAGAGTGTTTAGAGCTTTCCTTATCTTGACTGGTTAGTGATTATGATCCTGCTCTAAAAGTTGTTTATTAAAACTTTAAAAACAAATAAGTTAAAAAAAAGAAAGTAGTGATAGGAGTTTGCTTGAAATATTAGGGGAAGAGGTTGGGCCTATCCTATATAACAAAAGCCTAATATACTAAGTGTCTGGTCGTCCAGTCAACCAATCAAAGCGTAATATGCTAATGATATGCTAAGGCTGCTCAACTGCTCACTATGACATGCACTGACCACCAGGGGGCAGACAGTCGACCAGCTGCTATGACGTGCACTGACCACCAGAGGGCAGACGCTCCGACCAGTAGGTGAGCTTGTTGCTGGGGTCTGGCCGATAGGGACTGAGCAAGACGGGCTGGACACGCCCTGGAGCCCTCCCGCGGTCCCTCCCTGGCTGGCCAACCTCCTGTGTCCCTCCCTGGCCCTGATCGTGCACCGGTGGGGTTCCTCGGCCTGGCCTGCACCCTCTCGCAATCCCGGACCCCTCGGGGGATGTCAGAGAGCCAGTTTCCTCCTGATCCCGCAGGTCAGGCCGAGGGACCCCACTGGTGCACAAATTCATGCACTGGGCCTCTGGTACCTAATAAAAACACCTGTTACACTCTTATTGTTGTTTTAAGTTGTTATTGGCTTTACTCCAATTAAGAGTGTCAGTTATTACTTACTCTCAGCTTTCGGCTCTGCTTCCGAACCAGCTTGCCATGCTGGATGAAATGAACAGGGCACTGGTTCATGGCATTATCTGCTTTATGGCGAAGCCAGTCTTCATAGCCCTGAAAAAAAAGAGAAAAAATTCCATGTGACAAGTGAGAGAAACATGGAGGTCTCTCAGCTCTAGGCCAATCCTTTTGGACTTCGTTGAGATGGGCCATGACAGTGAGTACGGTACAGCCAGCCTTGGCCCATTGCACAAGTGAGGTGGCCAGGAGCCCTGGGGCCCTCGAGCTCCCAGCTGTGTCCATGAGAAGGACAAATGTGGCCTCAGAACCACCAGAAATCACCTTTTATTTTCCTTGACCTCAAATCCAAAACACACCTATTGGCAAATCCTGGCATTTTCCCCTCAAATGGATCCTAAATCTTCCACTTCTTCATGTCCTCTGGCCATCGTGCTGGTCAAGGTCCCAGCCTTCTTGGACCCTAGAAGAAGGGCCCTCCCAAACTGAACAGGGACATGACTGGCCCTGTCACTGCTGGGAGCCCCAGCTCTACACCATCTAATGGGGCTTTCCCAAACTTTCTCCCATCTAGACATGTGTGGAATGGCCATTCTCGAGTCCCCTGTGGTGACACACCAGGTGGCTCAAGCAGGGCCCTGGTGTGGGGCCCCAGAGGGGCCAGGACCTGCTCACGGCCTGAGGTCTGGGGCAGAGTCTTCTGGTTCCCCTTCTATTGCACTCGCCTGGTTTTAGTCCAAGTGTATGTATCAGAGAAGCCCCCGCCACTGACACTGTGATGCCCTAGAGTGCACATGTGGGCTTATGTGTATACATGCATGTGCATGTGTGTGTGCACAGGTGCACGTACACATGGCTTCTTGGTGTCTGTCTCCCTCACTGGAATGTCTTTTGTTCAGCAATATCAGCTCTAGGGCCTACAAAAAGACTCACTACATGAAAGAAGCTCAATCAATATCTGTAGAATAAATGAATATGTTTAATACATAAAATTAGAAAAGAAAAATATATTTAACCATATGCCTGGATCATGCTACATCCAGGGTCTTCTGCCTGATTTGCTACTCTCCACTCTGCCACTCAGGGCAGGAGAATGCATTTTTTAAAACAAAATCAAGACATAAATAAAAGAATAAAAATAACTTCCCCAAATTAGTTTTTACCGTTTATATTACAAAAGTATTAAGCGGTTTGAGGACCAAAAATAAGAAATACGTACATAAATCACTCCTCCAAAAAAATAAACTAAAAATGTCCTATTCCTATCACTCCACAAAAACTATTAATACATAAATTATTACTACATCAATATAATTATATAGAAATACTAGAGGCCCAATGCATGAAATTCATGCAAGGGGCTCAGCCCTCGCAGCCGTGGCAGCTACCTTGGCCCTCACAGCCCCACCTTCGTCCAGCTGTCCGGTCTAATTAGCATATTACGCTTTTATTACTATAGATAATTCTAGCCTAAGGGGGTATAGTTTTTTAAAATTAGAATCACACTGCACTTACTACACTACTTTGTACTCTCGATATATCATGGGCATTTTCCCATGGCAATCTGAATTATAGTTATACATATAATTCTGATAAACATCTTTACAATTGTATTTTTGTGCATATCCATTACATTATATATTCTTAGTACAGATTCCTAAAAAGAAAATGTCTGAGTCAAAAGACAAATAAGACTTTTAGGCTTTTAATATGAACTGAACAAAAGTCCTCAAGAAACGTGGCACCAATTATATTTCCAGCACCTGAACTTAAATATTCTACCTTGAAGAGGATATGTCAGCATACTCACGCACATATGCATTTTATTGATTGTAACAAACACTGGAAGCTACTAATACCAGCTATTCCTATGTCAACTCAGACACCAGCTCAAGCATTGACAAAGCAGCCTGACCTAATTCTCCTAACTAACAACTCTGCTAAATTCTTTTGTTCTTAAATAGGTACAATTTCAAATTCTTTCCAATTTTAAATTCTTTCCCCAGTAGAAGAAAACACACACTTTCCAACCAAGAGTTTGGTTGTTTTCTGGATTAACATGCCTTCTGAGTTGGGTTTCACTGAATGTGGAAAGTGCGTTTAAGGATGATGAATTACTTCTTCTCTGTACTATTTCCCAGCACATGAAAGGGAAACCAGGCACCCAAAGAGCTGTCTACATCTCCAGATGTGGCTGCACATCTGTACCCATGAGCTGTCATGTGGTGGAAATTCTCTGGAACTAGATAGTGGTGATGGTTGCCACTGGCTAAATGGATAATGGAAATAACTGAGATTCGTTCTTTTTACTGTTAGTCACTGGCTTTATTCATCAGGACCAGAAAGAACAATTCGATCCGCACTGAGTGAGTCGGGAGTTAGCATGCTCGAGTATAAAGCCACACCCCAGACTTTCTGTAGAGAGCAGATCCTTGCAGTTAAGACCATCAAGAAAACAGCCACGTTAAGCAATCATCTAAAATCAGACACCATCCCTGGCTGATTCAGTGTGAAACTATAGTTTCTTCCTAAAACTCACAGGGCACCAAATTAGCAATTAAGTTATAGAATCTCTCTCCTATACAAGCATCAACCTGAAACAGTTATAAAAACACATTTTTAAAACGTAGTTAAGCTTTTCTATGAACTGGCTAAATTAAACCGTATTACTTTGGATAAGAGGCGACATCACACAACAAAGATAACGACCTTCTCCCTCTGCCTGTGAAGTCTTACCTGTTTGATAGCTGTGACAGTGATGACAAAGAACAGTGGCAGTCCACTCGTTACTGGACTTGTGGGTGTATCAATAATCAACTGCAAGTAAAAGAGAATTGTAGAGCCCTTGTCAGAAACACGCATCGGTGACTTTAAACAGAATGGCTGGCCCTCTCACACGGCCACCCGACATTTGCTTTTACTTATTTTAAATTGCTTTATGGTTACCCGACTTCCTCCCACCACTAGAGCTAAGTTAGATAAGAAGCAAATCATCCTATTTTACTATAAAACTGAGGGCAATTCTTTTTAACTAAGGGAAATGCTTAGGAAAACCATGTTAGCGGTGGCGAAGACACAGTCTGATACCAGTGTACGTTTTATGTTAATTTACTACTCTGCTTCTGGCGCCACACTTCAACTATGTTATATGGATAACTTGATGTGGGGGAAATTTTAAAAGTCCTTCAATTGTATTTTGCATGATAGTAATTGAGAAAAACTGGATTGTTGTTCTTAAAACACATTTGACCAATTCATTTCCTAATTCATAGCTCATTGTGATTTTCACACTCCTTTCTCCCCACTCCCCCCCTCTCCACACTTCTCTCTTTAATGCTTTCTTTGGAGAATCTATGTATACTTAGAAGAGGGTAAGGTCACAATGCTTAGCTGGGCTGGTGAATTTCTCCTAAAGATTAGGAAGCGCCTGATCTCCCCCCCTCCAGTGCTGGACAGTGGCCAGAACCAACTCAAATGCAGAATGCCCATGTATGTTTTAGCGCCTAGGTCCCTGAACCAATACACTTGTCCCTGAAGAAAATAAAGGAAGAAACTGCAGATAAGTGGCACCAAGTTCTTGCTCCTTCTTATTAACAAACCACAGTTAATCACCTTAGAATAAAAGATCACTCATTTGGATTTCCAGTGCTGGACGGTGGCCAGAACCAACTCAAATGCAGAATGCCCATGTATGTTTTAGCGCCTAGGTCCCTGAACCAATACACTTGTCCCTGAAGAAAATAAAGGAAGAAACTGCAGATAAGTGGCACCAAGTTCTTGCTCCTTCTTATTAACAAACCACAGTTAATCACCTTAGAATAAAAGATCACTCATTTGGATTTGAGAAGATAGAGAAACGGTCACTGGCCTTACCTGGACCAGAAATATGATAAGAAAATAAAAGTTGGCGATTCTTCTGAATTGTTCAAACAAGTTCTTGGGTATGAAGTTCCAAAATGTGTACTGTAGAAAAGAAAAACAAAAAGGTGTCATTTTGGTCACCTTTTACTTTTTTGTGTTATTTACTCTACTACATGATAAGTAGCACTGGATCTCAATGTACAAAATGGTTAGTTTACCTTTTTACTTTTGTAATATCTTTCTATTGATTTCAGAGAGGGAGGGAGAGGGAGAAAGTGAGATAGAAACATCAATGATGAGAGAGAGTCATTCAGCTGCCTCCTGCACGTCCCCAACTGGGGATCAAGCCCACAACCCAGGCATGTGCCCTGGACTGGGAATTGAACTGTGACCTCCTGGTTCATAGGTCAACGCTCAACCACTGAGCCACGCCAGCCAGGCCAAAATGGTTAGTTTCAGATACAAAACCCATAATTCAAAATTTAGTGTGTTTGCAGACTTTTTTTTTCAATTTTGCTGACCACAAAAACAAACTGCTGGCACAGAATGTGTTCTCCAAAGGCAGGATGTATGAGTTCCCTCTAACATTATTCAAGGTAATGCAAAGTACCTTAACAATAGTTTTATTATTAAAACTAGAGGCCCGTTGCACGAAGATTCATGCAATAGGCCTTCTTTCCCCTGGCTGCCAGCACCAGTTTTCCTCTGACACCCGGGACCCAGACCTTCACTCTGGCCACCGCCTTCCATCTTCGCTCTGGACACAGTCTTCGCTGCGGCTGGAGCCTTCAGTCTTTGCTCCTCGCTCTGGCGGGAGTCTTCAGTCTCCGGCCAGAGCTGCTCCTGTAGCTCCTTCTGCCCCCCACCTTCCCCCCTCATAGCTTGATCGCTGCTTCGCCCGCAGACCTCGCTGACAGGCTCCTGGGTTCCAGGGGGCCGCCTTGCCTGTGCCCGGCTTTCCGATCACGATTATGATCACGATCACGGGCTGTAGGCAAGGTGGCTCCTGGGTTTCAGGGTGCTGCCTTGCCTGTGGCCCAGCTTTCCGATCATGATCACAGGCCGAAGGCAAGGTTTAATTTGCATATCATGCTGATTAGCCAATGGGAGGCGTAGCGAAGGTATGGTCAATTACCATGTTTGTCTATTATTAGATAGGATGTCTTCCGTAAAATATAAACCTATGATTGTTAACTCAAAACGTACATGTTTAGCATTTTTCCTTGATGGTAATTTCTTCATAAGCTTTTTCTGTGTGTGGCAGTGTGACTAGATGGTAATAGAAAGCTAAAATAGAAGAAGCCAACGTTATTAAGTGGTTCTGACCCAGTTTGGAGATGGTTCCTACCCTGGGGGTTGTCTGTGGCAGCACCACACAGGACAGCCCTTCCTCTTGATTCAGGGGGAAGGGAGAAGCAAGCAGGGAGAAAGTTCTGGGTGCCACTTCCTCTCCAAACCTTGCAATTTTGCTTTGGGAGGAGAGTTTCCCTAACTTTTGTGCTGAAAACAATGTCCCAGATGTCCTTAATCTACAGTAACATGGAGCATGGAAATGGTTTTTAAAATTCCATTTGTCAAGTTTTTGCCTTTAATGAGTTTTTGCCTTTCTCAGTCTAACGAGTGAGAAAGGGCTCTGCCCAATCTGCACGGTGACCCTTGCCCTCTGTCTGTATAATGAATAGAACCTACATCGGCTCCGGCTGGGCAGAGCCCAGCTCTGGGTGTGGCATCGCAGACCCAGACATCAGGGGCCAAGCCCTCCTACCAAGAGCTCCTTTAGTGTCAGAATCTCAAACACAAGTTCCTGAAAACTGAATGGCCCTAAACTATCCAACATATTCTGAATTTGGTTTTTATATCTATTTCACCTATTTCTATATCTACAGTTTAAAGAAAAAGCTTCTTTGCCTTCAGTTTCTGACTGCTTAGAGAATATACAGAGAATTTCCATTTTCTATTCTAATTTATATTCACAAGTTCATAATGAAGTTCACTAATGAGTGAGAAAACAAAGGAGTGGTTCCCCTCTCCCATTGGGCATATTTTCAGTTCCCTTCTCAGACTGGCCCCAATAAGTTACTCCAAGAGGGTCTCTAGAGGTTTAGGGAAAAAAATTAATTTTCTAGGTCCCAAACCCAACACACTCTCTCCCTTCCCTTATCTTTCATGTATCATTTCATACCAGTCTTTTATGGATATGAGTGGAAATATCTTCTCTTAGTGACTTGTCTTTTAATTCTCTTACCAGGAAAAAACTTTAATTTTAATTAAGTCCATCTTATCAATTTTACCTTTCAAGGTTAATGTTATTGGTTTTGTATCAAAAAACTCATTGCCAAACTCAAGGTCACCTAGATTTTCTTTATAGTTGTGTGTTTTAAGATTTAGGCTATCGTCAATCTATTTAGAGTAAATTTTGTGAAAATGGAGGATCAGTATCTAGGTTTTCTTTCTTTCTTTTTTTGTACATGGAAGTCCATTTGTTCCATCACCATTTGTGTAAAAGACTTTTCTTTCTCCATTGAATTGGCTTTGCTCCTTTGTAAAAAATCAGCTGACTATATTTATGTGGATCCATGTCTGGGCTCTCTATTCTGTTCCACTGATCTACTTGTCTATTCTTTCACCAATACCACACTGTCTTTGTTACTGTAACTTTATAGAAAGTATGAAGTTGGGTAGTATAAGTCTTCCAACTATGTTCTTCTCCTTCAATATTGTGTCAGCTATTTTCAGTCTTTCATATATAAACTTTAGAATCAATTTGTTTTTATTTACAAAATAACTTGATGGGATTGTGGTAAGTACTGTGTTGGATATATAGATTAAGTTGGAAAGAATTCATTATCTTAACAACATTGAGTCTTCCTATTCATGAACATGGAGTATCTTTCCATTTATTTAAATCTTCTTTGATTTCTTGCATCGACGTTTTATAGTTTTCCTCATATAGATCTTGTACATATTTTGTAGGATTTATACTTAAGAATGTATTACTTTTCCTTTTGGTGCTAATGTAAATGATGTTGTGTTTTTAATTTTAACTTCTGGTCTGCCAGGTAACTTCTGGTCTGCACAAATTTGGAATTTAAAATCAGTTAAAAGGCCCACCGGCATGACTTAGTGGTTGAGCGTTGACCTATGAACCAGGAGGTCATGACTTGATTCCCGGTCGGGGCACATGCCTGGGTTTCAGGTCACATCCCCAGTGGAGGATGTGCAGGAGGCAGCCAATCAACGACTCTCTGTCTCTCTCATCTTTGATGTTACTATCTCTCTCTCCCTCTCCATTCCTCTCTGAAATCAATAAAAAAATATATTTAAAAAATAATAAAATAAAATCAGTTAAATGGTTTCTTTATTCTAATCGGGCACAGAAGGCCCATGCTATAGCTTTGATATTAAGTTTTGTGATTTCTGCATTTCATAGAATAAGTTACTCTAATAAGTTACTACTTTGATTATATGTTAATATGGTCAAAAGAAGATTATTATTTTCTGATGATGTATAAGAAAATTGAAAACCAATTGAGATAATTTAAACATTCATGATTGTACTAACAGCAACATATGGATAAAATAAAATAAAATGAACATATAATTACATATTTAAGAGCTGGAAAAGTGATATTAGTGGGCCAATTATACAATTTTCATCTTTGTTAAATGGTAATCATCTAAATATTTGCTTAGATATATGGGCCACAATAGAATGTAATGCTTTGTGTACTACAAAGAATAATAAAACACTGACCTATATTCAGCTACCAAGTCCTCCCTCCTGTTGTATACAATCAGTACAATAGTACTTAATAAGCAGAAACCCTGCATTGAGCCGTAGGCATTGAATAAAATGGGCCTTTTCTTGCTATAAGAAAACTGAGGAGTCTGAGTCTACCAGAGATCCTCTCTTTACTTTAATAAGACATTTTGGGAAATGTTGAATTATACAAGACAATTACTATTCCTGGCATTTATTTCACATCACAAAAAACTACATTCCCAGAGTCTTTGCATTTGTTCTGTGTGTCATTAGCCCGGAGATGAAAATGCCTCATGAGCATCTGAGCTCGGTTTTGTCCATTCTCTCTCTCTCTTTTTTAATTCATTGTTGTTTAAAGTATTACATGTGTCTCCTTTGTCTCCCATTGACCTCTCCCTACCTGCTCCTGCCCCCCAGCACATGCCCTCACCTCCCTACTGTCTGTGTCTACTGGTTATGCTTATATGCTTGCATACAAGTCCTTTGGTTGATCTCTTACTGTCCAATCTCTTCTGCTCTACGCATAAGTACCTCTGGTTCTGGCTTGCTTACTGAGAGTATGGCTCATGACAAAGAAGAGGACAGTCTCACTTGGTCTACCTTTAGTCATGTGGTGAAAGAAAAACTTACCTCCCTACTGTCTGTGTCTACTGGTTATGCTTATATGCTTGCATACAAGTCCTTTGGTTGATCTCTTACTGTCCAATCTCTTCTGCTCTACGCATAAGTACCTCTGGTTCTGGCTTGCTTACTGAGAGTATGGCTCATGACAAAGAAGAGGACAGTCTCACTTGGTCTACCTTTAGTCATGTGGTGAAAGAAAAACTCTAAGAAAGAAGCCCTGGGCGCTGTTCTTCTTTGCCAGCTGCCAGAGAGTAAAATGAGAGCACCTGGAAACTGCCCCTAAGTCTCAGCTATTCTGTACCTGAAAGTGGATCCAGCACCACAGGTGTGCAAGGGACAGTTCTAAAAACGCACTGGAGGCCAGTCACTGGTCTTCTATGGGAGGCAATCAACTCACATGGACTTAAAGTTTCTCTTTCATTTATGACTGGGAGACGGGAATGTAGAAAATTATGCCCCAATTCTGGATTATTGAGTTAGAAAATGAGTGAGCATCATGATAGGCCAGTAAGCGAGGTAGTGCTGGCCCTGCAGAGGGAGTGCTGGGCTCAGGGTCAGGTGCGTGACTTAAGGACTGGCTCATCTGCTTTGTTCTGAGGCTTGGTGCTTCTGGAATAGGCTGGATTTAATAAGTAAGAGTTGCCTCACGGGGTTGTTTTAGAGCTTACATGACATGGTAAACTTGGAAGTCATTAAGAACACTGCCCATATCTAATTGGCTGAGGTACTTTTCCCTTGCCAATAATCAAGAGTTATTTAGCTGTGTTGAAGGTATGGAGTGATAGTACAGCCTGAGCCTATTATTTAATTATGCAGCATCTTAGGGCAGAGCTGGAAACCACATGAATTTTGTGCCCAAAAGTACAGTTTTGTGAAATTGATAAAGCAGTGCTCCACCGTTCTCTCGAGTCTAGAACCAGCCGCCCGGCGAGCTCAGGCAGGTCCTGGGCGGGGAGCTCTGCGTGTGGTCAGAAAGGAAGGAAGGGGGTCATGCTGAGGAGCGATTTCTTAGTTTTCCTTCTTCTATCAGACACTTGTCTGGTATGCCTCCCCCAAAAAGGAAATGGAAGTCAAATCAATCACTGATTACCAATGACCGTGCTTCTATGCCACAGGCCAGAAGTTTAACATAATTAGATTGGCCTTTTCATCCCCTAGTATAAATATGCCCATGATAAATGAGACTTCCTGAGCACACGCTTTTGTGTCCTGAAGAAGTCTTAGCCAGCAGTCTTTTCCTTTAGGTAGCAATAAAAGTTTTCTTCCCAAGAAAACATAGATACATTACCACAAACATATTTTCCAAACCTGCTTGTAAACTTATATTTTGCAAATTAAATGTAGTTTTCATATATCCTACGCTGTTCTTAAATGAAAACAATCTCGTGCTCTGGATTTCTACCCCAGTGGATCTAAATCAATGCCACTGTCCACCCAGCTACCGGCTTAGAGCCTAAGTTCTCGTCTTCCTGAGGTCCTCTTCCTTGCCGAATTTGATTAGCAATAAAGGTCATGTGATGTTGCACATAACTTTCCCTTGAATTGATACACCTTCATCCACGGATATAAAGGCATTAATCCTGCTTTTTGAGGAATGCAGATCATTCTCTGCACACACATGAACTGGGGAGGCACAGTCCCCCGTCCACTCTGAGCTGAGGTGAAACTGGATGAGTACTTTACCCAACACTCAACCCCTCTTCTGTGGGGACTTAGCCCGACCCACCTCCTGAAAGGATGTTGACTTACTTCTATTAGTTCCTACTCTAGAGTTTCCTGGTATGAAGGAGTTTTCTGAGCAAAAAACAGTTTCAAAAAGGCCCCCAGGAACCTGCAAGTCCTTATCAAACCCAATGTCCAGCACAGGGTTTCCTTTGTCAGCAACCCAGGAGGCTTTGGGGGCTCCCGTGCATGTAGGGCAGCTGGGTCCAGGCAGGTGCCACGCAGGGAGAGAAAAGATACGTCAGCAAAGGAAAGGGTGGTGAGCTGCAGAGTGAGGAGGTAAGACAAGACATCGCAAAATTATTGTTGGCTATCGGCTGCGGGAATATTTGAAAGAAAAATAGGAAAATAATAAATTGGTTCTGAAACTTGAATCAGATAACAAAGGGGATGGGATTTAGAAATCACTGCTTTCAGTTTTCTTCCCCAAAACACTGACAGGGGCTTTCAACCCCCAACTCTCTGATGCCTGCAGTCAACAAGGCGCTTTGTGTTCCAGAAAGTTCCTCCACAAAGCCTTGTACAGAACTTTCCACGTCTCCTGTAGGACCTGGGGCTGAAAGGTTGGAGGCTAAGCTTTGTCCCGGAGGGAGAAGGCAGCTGCACAGGGATTTTATCAGCGGCTGAAGTGCTTTGACAAACATCCTACCCAGACTAGACACTGCGAAGCATGGGCAGGTCACCCCATCACCTGTACCCCAACTCCTGTCCTGACAGTTCACACATGGCACAACATTTTAATATTTTTCAGTGCACTGCCCCGTTTCCTGGTGCATTTGTGCTGCAAAGGAGTAGATTTTTAAGAAATTAGAATAAATTGATAGTTGCTAGATGTGAGGGAGTTGGGGGGTGCTTAAGGGATTAAGGTAAAGGGATTAAGAAGTACAAATTGCCAATTGTAAAAACAGTCACAGGGGCCCTTGCTGGTTTGGCTCAATGGGTAGAGCATCGGCCTGCAGACTGAAGCGTCCCAGGTTTGATTCCGGTCAAGGGCACATGTCCGTGTTGCGGGCTCCATCTCCGGTAGGGGGTGTGCAGGAGGCAGCCAATCAATGATTCTCTCTCACCAGTGATGTTCTATCTTTCTCTCTCTCCTTCTCCCTTCCTCTTTGAAGTCAATAAAAATATTTTTAAAATAAATAAATAAAATATAGTCACAGGGATGTAAAGTACAGCATAGGGAATATAGTCAATAATATTGTAATAACTATGCATGGTGTCAGATGGGGTACCCCTTAAATTATGTAAATGTCTAATCACTATGTTGTGCAACTAAAACTAAGATATTATTGTATGTCAATTGCAATGGAAAAATTTAAAAACCTTTTTGAAAAAGAAATGTTTTTGAGATTTTTTCTTTTTCGGCCACACTAGTGGGTTGACAGGGTACGTATGTGCATAGAAATCATCTTTAGTGATCTCTACTTAAGACTGCGTTAAATTTATAAATGTCACTGCTGGACAGACGCATTTTTGGATGTGGAGTTCCCCTTCATTTTATTTCTCCTTTCATAGATCATATCTGGGTAACTGCATACTCCATTTATTTGGTTGAGATTTTGTTTATGAGCAATTATCCACATTGTGTTTTTGGAAATTGAAGCTGCTATTGTTGTTGTTGTTATTATTATTATAATTAGTATTATGTATTGCAATTTAAAGTAAAATAATTCCATTAAAAAACTGCCTTGAAAAATAATGTTTTTCTGTTTGCAAGTATTAACAAACACTCTTTGATAGCTCATCGAAGAATGAAGTAGGTGGACCACACAGATTTACGCAACTGGCCACTCACGTGTGAATCCAGTCAGTCTATCCCAGATCTATACAGCTAGTGAACCCAGAACATGTATATGCCTTCATGGACACTCGTGTATAGGCACCCAGGAATGTGTGTATGCCTTCATGGACACGTGTGTGTAGGCACCCAGGAATGTGTATATGCCTTCATCAACACGTGTGTGTAGGCACTGAAAAGGAAAGTTCTCCATAATCCTGAAAGCCATCATTTACCTTTTTGTCAAAAGCCAACTACAAAATTCTCCACCCTATTCTCAAGACCCATTCACCAGGTTACTCTCTCCATGTGTAAAATACGCCTCTGCAGTCCCACCCCAGCCAACAAAAACAGGGCACTATGTTCAAATGATGACATTCTAATCACTTTTCTTCTTCTTTGTATTTATTGCACCTAGTTGACAGACTCCACATGGATTCGGTGTTTTTGTTTACAAGGTGGTCGCGCACACACCCTTTCACGGGAGACATCTAACATCGTCTCGTCGTCTCTATTCATAGATGAGGAAACTCCAGCCTGGGGTGGTTCGTGAGGGCACATGGCCAGACAGCAAATAAATAAGTGGCAGTAGTAGGAACTGAATGTCCTAGACTTCCAGTGTGATACTATATCATGATATAATCAAGAGAAATGGAGAAAATGTGCTGTTACATCTTGGCAAGTCTGAACAGAGTTTTGGAGACAAGCAGAGGGATAAGGAGTTCACAAGCCCCGTGTAAGCTGCAATCACAGCCCTCGGTCGGGAGTGGATGGCAGCTGTAACAGCATTTCTCGGAGGGGATTGCTAACTGCTGTCAGAAAATCCCAATGCTCCCCAAAGGAAGTTAATAAACACAAAGACAAGGAGGTTACCTTGGCGGAGACTATTCTGTTATCTGGGTACCTCTGCGGAATGTAGGCCTCAGCACCTGGCGGGGGCTCCTTGTGTCCCACGTAAACAGTCCGATTGTCGACCCAATTCTCTTCTCCAGCACACTGTGGAAAACGGAGTGGCGTTAGCACAAGTACCTCAGACGGTGGGTGAGAAAGTTCTTCCCTGGAGTGTTGGCCTTAGCATTTGTCCATATGAACTTACAGCCTCCTGCAGGGCCATGGGGAAGGCTGAGCCCCACCTGCCATTGCCAGATCGCCACCCCCACCTCGATCTTACTCAACGCTTATGGGCTAAGTGCTTCCGATCCCTGCCCCATTCTTCAAGGAAACAGTCTGAGTGGGCACTCTGCACTCCCAGTGAGAGCTGAGGGGCAGCCTTGAAAAAGCTGATTTACGGTGGAAGTGACATGGGGTGGGTTCGTGTAAAAAAAACAGAACACAACTGCAAAATCTTAAGGCTTCCAAAAGAGAAAAGACAATGACGGACAGAAATTTGGGGAAAGGTCTTTAATGAAAGAGAAGAGTAAAATCTTGAAGACAGAATAGAAGAATTATTCAACCATTTCAGATGTCTCTATCAATAAGGCTTTCCTGGAAAGAGAGGAGACTGGGGTCTGACTCATCTTTATATTACTCAGAGTGGTGTGTGCATGAGGATTAAGTAAATATCTTCTGAATAGAAGGATCCTTTAAAAACACCCAACTAGACCGTAAGCTATCATGAGCACTTAAATGCCTAATAACAACACTATAGTGACGGATTCGAGGCTAAAATGCAGCCTCTTATAGACATCCAGTACGGGGTCCTGGCCCTCCCTCAGACTAGCAGGGGCCTAGGGGGAAGGGGCCTAGGACCAGACCACGGCCCTAGGCCCCTTCCCCCTCAGACTAGCAGCCAAAGCATGTGCCTCCCAGTCCTCCTTCAGACTAGCACCCCAGCACAGGGTCCTGGCGTCACATCCCAATTCCGCTGAAGGAACTCTGAAGAGATCAGCCTCCCTGGGGTATGATGTACAGTGCTGGGAAGGAGAGGGACATCTTTTAATTGCAGAGAACGTCGGTGTGATGGGCATCGGAGTCAAAGGCCTGGTTCAGTTGTTGCTGAGACTCTCAAGAGCCTCAGGCAAGTTTCTGAGCTTGAACTTCCTCCTCCATAAGGGCATGACAGCACTTTGCTCATATTGTTGGGAATGAACTAGGCCAACAAAACACATGACCAACCTTCCAGCGTGGCACAGGTTCCTGCTGCTCTCCATTTCTGGGTCCACCCTTTGTGGCTTCAGGGAACCCTCACTTTCCAAAGCCAAAAAGAGAGGGGTAACAAGAAACCCAGCATTTCTATTGTGTGAGGTTATTATAAGTCTTGCATTACCCCCACCCCTGCCTTTTTTTTGCTTATACTATCATATCCTTTGCTCATCTATCAACTTCTTGGGAATAAGACTTTTCATGTTTCCCCTCCCTACTGCTCCCCCCACCTGTGGAGCAGAGCATCCGCAGGAACAGCACACTTACGCATTTTCTTAGCAAATTCCACCCACATTTCCTTTCATGAGGGCCCAGCTTTGTGGGACAGTCCATGTGACTAAAGGATAAAGAGAAATCGCCTCTGTGATTCCACCCGTGTTTCAGAGAGGCTCAGCAGGGACGCAGGAAACGGCACAAGATCCCTGAACAGAACCGGCCCAGGAGCCGCCTGCCTCACTCGGCATGAGCAGAGGGTTTCTTCCTAGGCACGAGCTTGGCAAGTGGCTCCCTCCGAGGAGCCTGCTGCTCCATAGGATCGTAGGATCGAGGGGCCACTGAACGCCCAGCAAGCGGGAGCCCTCCCTCCTCAGGCCCTCTCGTCTCCCGGTCCCCAGGCCCTTCCCTGCTATTTTTGGGTGAGGCCACCCATGAGGGATGTTTACTTTAAAAACCTGCCTAAAAGCTTCATAAATCAATCTCTGGCTAGGAAAGTTAAGAAAATAAAAAATGTCTCTGACTTCCCTTTCTTTCTCAGAGCCTGGCCAAAGACGTGCTTTTCATTCCTGTGGATTCAGGAAGTGACACTGACAAAGAATATATAACAAATGAACCAGAAAAGGAAAGGCATACAAATATAAATTTTAATACAAAAATAGAAAACCTTTCTTCTAAACTTCAAAGATAGCAGTTGGCTTCCAGCCCTCGCACTGACTCTGGAAGCCCACATCTTCCCGGGGCCACGCCGAGGTGCCTGGCCTGGAGCTGGTGTTCCCGGCACTCTGGGAGGCTAAGTCAGAATGTATTTTATTAAGGCTAATGCATGTTCTCAACCCTGTCTAGTTTTTAATGTAATTATTTAACACCTTAAACATAACTCAACAGTGCAGTGCCGTTTCAACAAATACAGGCCAGAACACCATTCCTGCCTGTGGGACGAGATGGGAAAATGAACTGAACACCACATGCAGGAGGACTGGCCTAGATCTGCACAACAGAAGTCATTTGGGAATGGACCACACACTAGCTAAATGAAAGCTAAACCCTGTACAACAACGCCGCCTTTATACAGTTCCCTGGGGATGGAACAACCCAGAAGTTCCTTTAAGCTCCTTGCTTCTATGAACAGGCTTTACACTCGTGGACTGAAAGGTCAGTGAAGCTACGCTTCCCCCTGACGTGGCTCACTGCTCAGTCAGCACAGCGGAGCCCAAGGCGGGACACAGAGGAACTACATGCTCTGAAGTCATGAAGTGACCGGTGATCTTACACAGGGCACTGACAGGCAGGGGACATTTCTGGGTTCAGATTACGACCCTGCTGAGCTCTGTATGTTGTTCTCTGCACAAATGTCCAATTCTAAGGCTAAAATTAAATGCTCAAAAGCTGAAGAGAATACAACAAAGAGGGCACTCCTGGAGAATGGCTGGTTTCATCACCACCATTACAATCACCCCCTCCCGGTCACGCGTGTCCTGCTGCTGACGGGCTGTGCGACAATGGAGGAGTGACTCAACATTTCTGTGCTGAACTTACTCAGCAGTAACTGAAGGGATCAGACTAGACCAGCTCTAAGTTCTAAGATTCTGGTTCTCAGCACACTTGGCAGTGAAAACACACTTAGTCCCTATGATGCAATTCTTAATTTAGCCAGTGTTAAACCAAATACCAGTCACACTGTTCACTGTTAAATTGTGGTACAAAAAGAAAGTTATGCCACATGGTGCTCTAAGAATGAAGATGTAGGTTATAATAAATTCTCCCAAGGGCAGCAAAACGGAGACACTGGCCTCTCTTTCTAGGTATTCATCTTAGATAGAACGTGTGATAATGCCCAACAAACTCCATGTGACTTCTCTCCTCAGAACCCTGAGACGTTGGTCAGCAAGGCAAGGCTGGAACCAGCACTAAGTGGTATTTCTTGGCTGGCAGGCTTCCTAACGACTCACTACCACCAGGTGCCCTGACTACATCAAGAAGACACCTGGCATGCCCCCTGGAAGGCTGGCCTCAAGTTCCGATCACACATACAAATCTAAACTGTGTGGATGAGGCTGAGCACTCAGTTGCTTCTAAGATGCAAAATTACCCATCCACACACCCTGAGCTGTTCCCAGAGGGTGGTGGTGAAGGGGTTCCCACTGAATTTTGGGAATCACCAAACCAACAGCTGAGAGGCCACTACTACCTGAGAGTTTGCAAACCACCAGAATGAACACAGTCAGAGGAGGGAAGGTAAGAAGAATCCAAGGAGTCTTTTTTTCTTATTATTTTTATAAAATTAAATTGTCACATACAGAAACAAGGGAGAAAGCACCAAAAAACAAACAAACAAACAAAAAAACCCCACACAAACAAACCCAAAACCAACAACAAGGCTTATTGGGGAAAAATGTACCATCAGAGAGACTGGCAGAGAGAGTGGTGGCCAGGTGGGTACCTTGTTTCATAAATAAGTTCCAGGAAGAATGTGAGTTTGAGAGAAGAACCACAAATAACAATGCCTCTTCCAGCAGCGAGTGAGACCAGGGATGGAAAGTGGACCCCACACGTGTGCTGTGGGGCTCTGCTCTCGTAACCCCTAATGAATAAATGAGGCTTGCTAACAAAGCCGTCACCTTGAACGAATGGAGCAAATTAATATATGTACACACACAACAGAGGGCTCAGTAGCTTTGTCCTAATGAGCTAGAAATGAAAACTTGGACTTCCATTCTATAGTGTGGAAAACACTGCAAACAAATATGAACATTTTGCTCACACCTGCGGTATACTTACAACCAATCTGTTAAGAAAGGTAGGTAGATGGTATAGTTTATTTTGGCAAATTACATGTTACTAATTACTTCTTAAAATCCTACTCAGTGTGCAATAGAATTCTTGTAGTAAATCCAGAACACATGTAGATGTAACAACTGTCAGTAACTTATGTTAACACAACAAACCCTCCTTCCTCTACTTCTGATCTTGATGAAGGGATCAACCCTGAAATGGTTAAAATTACTGAAGGATCTAATGTCCAGTGAGTTCGGGTCACTAGAATGAAAATTGGATAAGCTGTTATTTAACAGAGAACATAGATGTCAACATCATTTGTGGGTTAAGAAATACACATCAAAACCACAAGGAGACACAACTCCTTACCCACCAGGATGGCTAGAATAAAAAATAAGAGAGTTGGGCAATAACAAAAGTTGGGGAAGATGCTGATAAACTGGAACCCTCCTATATTGCTGGTGGGAATAGAAAATGGTGCAGCTACTTTAGGAAACAGTTTGGCGGTTTCTCAAAAAGTTAAGCAAGTTTTTTTTTTTAAATGAAAGCTTTGTTGTTTAAAGTATTACATATATTCTCCTTTCCCCCCATTGAGTAAGTATTTTTGTTAAATGAAAGGCGTATGTAGTTTGCCTGCATGTGGGATAATTATTTTTCGTTTGGGCAATAACACAAGTTGGGGAAGATGTGGATAAACTGGAACCCTCATATATTGCTGGTGGGAATAGAAAATGATGCAGCTACTTTAGGAAACAGTTTGGCGGTTCCTCAAAAAGTTAAGCAAGTTTTTTTTTAAATGAAATCTTTGTTGTTGAAAGTATTACATATATCCTCCTTTCCCCCCATTGAGTAAGTATTTTTGC